TAAATATGTGTTGGATCACAGCCATCGTTATCAAAAGTGCTGCCACAGAAATGTGCCAAAGGAAGATTTCCAAATTAGGCTTGGCCTGCACATATAAACGTTAGCTTGTAAAGCTCAAGAAATACCAAATTGTAGTCCGATAGTCCCTGCATTTTATTGCCCTTTTTGAAATAATCATGCACTTCAGAGCATCCTTTAATCTGAGCTAAGTTGTGGCTGGGTAAGAATGCAGCTTCTTTTTTCTTTGTCCTTTATGTACTTAGATGAGGAAAATTTCATAAATAAATCAGAGCTAAAAAGCAAGTTTTCTTTCCACCTTTTTATCTCCATGGAAGCCCAGCTTTAAGGCATTTGAGTGATGCATTAATTCTCAGCTGCATGAGTCCACTGAAAAAAATAATCCTGAAAGTCACATTTTTTTCTATTTTGTTCCTTGTGTGATGTACTATTTGGGGTCATGGTTGAAAGAGGCAGCATTCTTATGACCTCAAGGAGTAGACCTTTGACTGTGAAGGTTTAAAGGTTTACCTCTGTTTCAGAACCTTGTGTCAGTTTAATAGAGCTCATTGAAATGATCATTTTTATTTAAATTAAGGTAAAGATAATCTACACTAAGACTCGAGACCTTCTTTGACAATTAGCTTTATACTGTGTGATTAGAGTAGCCTGTGTGGAGAAGGGCCTTGAAGCCAGCCAGATTTCTGACATCTCCTTATGCTTGCTATTTTTTAAAATTTCTTTTAAATTTCTAATTGTGTGTGTGTGGAAGGGTATGTGGACATAAATGCAGATGCCTACAGAGGCCAGATCTATTGGATCTTCATGGAGCTAGAGTTCAGGCAGTCTTGAGCCAACCACCTGACCTCGTCCTGGGAATTGAACCCAGGTCTTTCGCAGGAGTACTACCCACTCTTACCACCGAGCCATCCCTCTAGTTCCTTGTGCTTACTATTAAAGAGTTTTTAAAATGCTAGTTCCCAATCAAGATAGAAGTTGTGAACTGAGAACAAACTTTATGCACAGAATTTATTTTAACATTTTAACTGGCCTATAGGATATACAGATGATGGCTGATGTTCATGATTTTCTATGTTGAACCTAGTTGCACACTGAACTGATGTTAAGAGAAGATTTGCCTTATTAAATATATATTGTTTAAAACCTCATGTGAATTATCACACATATAATAAATTAACTCTCCAAATGCATATTTCTGCTTTAGGTTGCATATTTTTTAACAAATTGTTAATAGACTTTCCTTGGGTAAATTAATAATATATAATTTTAAACCATATGGATTAAATATTTGTTGTATTATCCGGTACTGTTTCTTTGCTATGTATAGGCTGACCAAACATAGATAAGTCTTTGTTGAATTTTCATCGAAACCATTTCTCAAATACTTTTAAGAGGGTGTCAACACTTAAAGAATTACATAGGCTAGTCACTGTAATCTCTAAGCAATGGATGAATAGCCCTTGCCCTGTCTAACTCAACACTGAAATGGACTCACCAGTTACCACCCATAACTGCTTCCAACTGGAGCCTGCCTCCAACAAAAGAAACAAGTAGTCTCTTGCTGCCACTCGGGACCATCTCACCAGAGAACGTCCATTTGCCTCCTGAAATTTAGATTGTGGTGGCTATACAGTTCTATGACTTTACAAAGCTCCTATATGCAGTTTCAAAATGCAAACATTTTAAGTCAATCAATTTATTCAGTATATATAACAGTGTTGCACATACAGCTCAAGGCTTTCTGTTTCTTTGGGCAGATTACTATAGTGTAGATACACCAAACTAAATTAAAGCTCCAATAGCTATCAGAGTGCTTGATCTTTTATATAATGATGTCTTAGGGTCAATCTAAGAGTTTATAATGTGGAGTGGCAAAAAATCATTACTGATTTAGGGCCTTACAACATAGAATGCCATTAACCTTGAAGACATTTGTTTTAAAATGTGTTGGAAAAATAATAGACAAAAAGATGGTTTTCTTTCTGTTAAATATGAACACATTGGGGCTGAGAAGAGGACACAGTTAGTAAAGGGCTTGTTTTGCAGACATGAGGACAGGAGGTCAGTCCGCACAACCCATGTAAAGAATCTGAGTGTGGTGGCTACACTTGTAACCCCATTAGGGAGGAAGAGCAATGAAGCTCCCCAGGCTCTGGAGCCAGCCAGCCTGACCTGCTTGATGAGTTTCAGACCAGTGAGATAGCAGCTCAAATGAAGAGTGTGTGGCTCCTTCGTATACCTAAGGCTGCCCTCTGCTTCCATATGCATATAAGCATGTGCACCTGTACACATGTATACTAGCATGTGTGCTCATGTGTGTGGCACACACACACACACACACACACACACACACACACTAAATAAAACGAACACCTGAAGGAAAGGTTTTCAAAGTTCCAGAAATCTGTTCCCCATTGCTATAAAGTGCAGTGACTATGAGCAGCATCTGGCCTGCAGCCTGATTAGAATGGCTTTGTTCCCATGCTTGGTATCATGTGCCATGGGGCAGCCTTAAACCCCACAGGGCATACAAATGGTGACTATCGTTATAAAAAAAGAGGCGGAGGGATTCCAGTGGATGACATTGGTTTGTCACGGTGTGTACTGCAGTGATTATTATCGGGGTCCAAGTAGATAGACCCAGAAGAGGATTTGAAGGCATAAATAGTCACAGATGGTCCTTATATGGAAATGAAGATTCGTGGTATGTTCATTTAGCCCATATGCACAGGGTTCCTTAGATACAGATGTACTATACCCAAACACAGGCTAGGTGGTGATGGGGTCTGGAAAGAACAGTAACCCCCCCTGGAGAGTCCTGCTTAAATGGAAGCTACTTGCCACTATTCCTATCAGTCTGCTGGCCATTCAGCTTTGGAAAAGGTTTTCAGGTTAGAATCAGAGAGAAAGTTTGACATTCTAATATGTAATATATGTTTTTATAGGAGAACCTCTAGTGATATATCTTAGAGGGATGTCCCTGTGTAGCTTTGGAACCTGTCCTGGAACTAGCTCTTTAGTCCAGGCTGGTTTTGAACTCACAGAAATCCACCTGTCTCTGCCTCCCAAGTGCTGGGATTAAAGGTGTGTGCCCCCACTGCCTGGCTTTGCTCTAATTTTAAAAGGCAGTAGCATAATAGTTTGGGAAAGGTTTTCCTCCCATTGTGATAAAATTTACATATTGATTTACAGGAGTGAAATCATTCTATCTCCAGGCAACGGTCATTGTTACAGTTAGGAATAGGCATTTTTTGTGTTTATATGAATTTACCCAGGAGGGTAGGAAGATTCATCAGGAAAGCAGCACAGTGAGGTGGCCACCTTCAGGCACTCTGGAAGCCACTTGCAGCTATGGAGTCCTGGCTTGAGCTCCCACAAGAAAGATCACCTTAGAAGTGATTCAAGCCCCAGTTTCCTATTCTATAAGAGAAAGGACAGTAACTCTCACATGAGCTTTATAAGATAAATGAAAGAATGATATATACAAATACTTTGCTTAATGGCCAGAGCCTAGTCAGAGCTTCAGAATTTGAATGTATTTATAAATTAATGGCTTCAAGTTTTCCTTCTATCAACATGTGGAGAGTTCTGTTGCTTTGTAATGCTCTTTTGAATGAATGGTTTCAGTATGATGTATGAACAGATGCCATGGCCATCAGCTTTGACAAGTGAACTAGCACAACAGTTTTAGGCCACTGTATGGCTCTGTTGCCTCGACATCTGCAAGACAATGGATGGTATGCATGTGTCTTTCTACCTACCATTAAAATTCACACAACATTACACTCAGTCATTTAAAAAGCATAATTTGATAGCTATATGATAGTGATAACTATTACCACTATCCAATTCCATATCATACTCATGACTCAAAAGGAAGCCATTTATCCACTAAGTAAGCAATCTCCTGTCCCACATTCCCTTAGTCCCCTGATGGGGAATGTTCTTCTGTGTATATGTTTATCTTACTGGTTGTTGAATAAAGCACTGTTGGCTAATAGGGAGCAAGATAGGTGGGATTAGGAGTCGGGGAGGATTCTGGGAAATGTAGTAAAGAGAAGTCGCCATGTGATCCAGGCAGAAAATCACCAGGTGATCCAGCAGGGCAGAATCAGTATTTAAGCAGGAACAAGTAGGAAATCACTCTCCTCTATCTTCTCTGTGGAGATGGAGAACAGACACAATGTAGACCCCAAAGGAGTGAAAGGCCTGGACCTTTTCTCCGGTAAGATAAGGCCACGTAGAAATACATGGATTATTAGAAAGTGGGTGAATAATTAAGACTGAGCTAGCAAATAAGAAACCATAGCCATTGGCTAACAGCTTTATACTAATAAAGTGTCCGCATATTTCCTTGGATCAGAGAAGGGCAGTGGGACCTAGCCAGGCCAAGAAAAACTGGAGTTACCGTCCCCAGCAACAGATTTATTTTTCTGAATATAGGTTTTTTCAGTTCTGAACTTTTTACATAAATGGGATCACATGTGATTTTTCTATGACTGACTTATTTTATTGCCTTAATATCTTGAAGATTTTATATACATAGTCACCACATTGTAGTATATATAGAAAATGTTCCTACTTAAAAAGTAATACTTCATTGTACAGATATACCAAATTTTGTCTGTCTACTAGTTGTTGGCGATACATAGTTTGTATAGTTTGTTTTTAGGGGAATCATTTAATGTAGTTATGTCATCATCAAAATACATATTATATGTTTTTGTCCTCCCACCCCAGACAGATTGCTCAATTGTCATATTTTGAGAGAGAAGTTTCATAGAATATGGATCAGAAAATACAATCTGAATTCTGTTTTAGAGAGGGCTAATTTTGTTCTTTTATTGAAGCCTGGTTCTTTGTTTTAATTTTTAAATCTTTGAAATTAAAATACAGTTACAGCATTTCTGCTTCTCCTTCCCCCCTCCAGCCCCGTCTTCATCCTTTCCCCATGTAACTCTGGAGCTTTATGAACTTTGTAGGGAGAAGGAGGAGCAGCTCAGCCGCATGACTGAGGTTCAGAGGTCGCAGGCCCAGCAGGCAGATGCTGCCCTGGAGGAGTTTAAGCGGCAGGTGGAAGTGAACTCTGAGAAGGTCTATGCTGAGATGAAAGAGCAGGTAAGATATGCACTCATCTTCAGAAGCATCTCACTTTTAAAAGCTTTGTGAGGGCTGGAGAATGTCTCAGCAGTTAAAGCACATACTGCCTTTTCAGAGGACCCAAGTTCTGTTCCCACCACCCACACTAGGTGGCTCACAACAGCCTGTAGTTCCAGCTGCAAGGAATCAAACTGCCTCCATAAGACCTGAACTCATATGAACATACCCCCATGCAGGCTCACAAGAGTATGTATAATTAAAAAGAAGGATCAGGCATAGTTATGAGTTCCAGGCCTGTCTATCCACTTGGCAGGTTCTAGGCCAGCCAGGACTATATAGTGAGACACACACCCCCCATCTCAAGAAAAAGAAAGCTTTGTCAAAAGCAGCAATAGAGCTGGCCAGAGACTGAAATGAAAAAGGATAGGATTCATTGTTTCACCTTTGAAGCCAGAATGGTCATTTAAACATTCCAGAGCCCCCCATCAAGTGTGTAATGACAAAAATGCCAGAAAAGGCCACCACCATACTGGCTTCTGTAGAGCAGGGGCTCAACTTGACCAGGTATATGTTTCTGAATGTTCCGTGAGTACTGTTTTGTTGATCAGTCACAGATTCTGCCACTGGGCAACTCAAGAGGAGACAGATTTATTTCCAGCTCTTGAAGGTTGTTTTTGTGAGAAAGTTAGACCTTCGCAAAGTAATAAAGGAAATTATGACAAATACCTAAGAATCCACATTGTTAACACTGTATATACAGACTAAAATATTACAGGTGATGTCCAATTTAATTTTTTATTCATGTCTACTCATGTTTTTTCTAGCTCTAAGAAACTAATTTTATGTAAATCATTTCAAAATATTTTGTATTTCATGTATAATCTCCATTTGTAATTCATATATAAAATATAATAGCTTTCAGTACATAAGAAAAATTTAACATTTAATTTTTATGTGTATATAATGTCTATATAATATGGATTTTAGTATATATTGCTGTGTATATTTTGATTCTTTTATTGAAAGAATGTGTGATTGTATACACATGAAATTCTCAAATTTAAAAAAAATTCTAATGTTTGAAATTTTTAAAAGAAAAAAATCATGTAAGTACTAAAAGCTTTTATCTATTATTCTCATTTGATTTGTTATGTCTAATATTATATGTTTGTGTTCTCTGTTTAATTAATATGTTTTACTGGTAAATATATTTTACCATATGAAGATGAGTACATTTTAATTATCAGCTCCTTATAAGTATATTCAGATTACTGTTGCTGTGATGAAACATTATGACCAAAAGCAACTTGGGGAGGACACACCTATATCACAATTCATCACTGAAGGCAATGAAAGCAGGAACTCAAACAGAGCAGGAACCTGGAGGCAGGAACTGATACAGAAGCTGTGGGGGAGTGCTGCTTACTGGCTTGCTCCTCGTGGCTTGCTTAGTCTACCTCTTATAGCACCAAGGATCACCAGCCCACGAGTAACCCCACCCATAATAGGCTGGATCTTCCTGGATCAATCACTAATTAAGAAAATGCCCCACAGTCTTTCCTATAGCCCAGACTTCTGGAGGCATTTTCTCAACTGTGGTTCCCTCTTACTGAATGATTCTAGCTTATATCAAGTGGATATAAAAATTAGGTAGCACAATTGCTAAAGCAGCATGTTGTAGTAATGCGTCACTTCAGCTGCAGGAGTCTCCCTTCGGAGTACCAACACATATCAGTGTTGGAAAGGGCCCTGAGCAAAGCCGAGATAAGCCTTGTGGTTTGAAACCGCTCAATTTGGTGTGACTTTCTCAGTTCTGATTTCCACTAATGCTAATTTTGGGGATGGTGCACACCCTGGGAATGTTGTTGGAGGTCTCTGCTTTTCTCTTTTAAGTTTGCTGCCTGGAAAAAGCAGAGTTGGGCAGGGGTAGAGGGCCTTGTGCTGGGAAGCAGAGACTTGCTATCCCTGCCCCATGGATATGAATTTCAGTGCCTGCTCCATCAGGTCCTACAATGTGTATCTGGTCCAGATACTTCGTGTAGCTGGTAGGAAGTTCTCTGATAGGCTTGAAATGAAATGAAAAGAGAAAAATATCAAAAATGAAAGCTCCAGGAAAGAGTATGTAAATATATGGCCAACAATTTTAGGCCAGTTATACAACTTTTTTGAGAAAAGGCATTTGATCAACTTTGGGTCACTAAGTGCACTTAGAGCTGATGATGTAATGCTAAGAGGCTCACAAATATCACAGATGATTAAGAAGACAAAAACAGTCAAATAACAGAATGTCAGAGAACACTCTGTAGAACCTGAAAAGGTTTCACAGTGTAAAAACACAACTCTGAAAATGACTATGGCAGAATGCAGAAAGTTTAAGAGCACAACACCTTTCTAGGGGCCACATACAAAAAATAAATACTGCAATAAAACTTGGATATATCCTGGAAAAAGAATTGAACCTTCAGGATAAAATAAGTGTTCTATAACATTCCAGGCATGATGATACCAGTAAAGGAATTGGAAAGATAATGGTGTAGTGTTTCACAGTTTGGGAGGAGAAAAATTACAATTCAATTCAATCCATAACCAAGGAGTTTTTCACTCACAAGTTAATAGGAAACACACACACACACACACACACACACACACACACACACACTCACACACTCACACACTCACACACAGAGACACACACCACACCTTACTTCTTTTTCTTTGAAAACATTATATGAAGACATTTTTTTAGATATGAAGCACAAGCTTCCCACACATAGGGTTGCCATCATATAAAAGGTGAGGCAAAGATTTGTCAAAGTAGAAATGAATTTAAATGACTGTAAATTATAAAAAGGAATATGAAGTGAACTGGTTTCCCCCAAAAGAAGGTGTACATGTTACAAAATACAAATTTAATAACTTGAACAAGCTAGGAAATGACTCAGTTCATAAAGTGCTTGCCACACAAGCAAGAGGCCCTGCATTTAGACCCCTCTCAACCATGGAAATGCCCATAGAGAGACACATACTTCTGTAGTTATAGCACAGACCAGGCATGGGGAAAAAGCAAAGACAGCAAATCCCTAGAGATTGCTGGCCAGCCAGGCTAGTTGAATTGGTGAGCTCCAGGTTCATTGACAGACCCTGTCTCAAAAAGTAACCTGGAGGTGGGTCCTAAGAGATGGCTTAGCCATAAAGAGCATTGGCTGCTCTTTAAAAGGGCCTGGGTTCAATTCCCAGCTACCACATGGCAGATCACGATCGGCTCTAATTTCAGTTACAAAGAATCTAACACCCTCTTCTGGCCTCCAGAGACACTGTTTACATATAGTGTATAGACATAAATGCAGCTAAAACATCCACATGGAAAATAATAAAATAAAAACTTTTAGATGGAAAGTGACTGAGAAAGATACCTGATATCATCATCTAGTCTATATTTGCATGTGCACCCACTTACACACCGCCATATGAGCACATAATACAGACAGACACGAACAATACAATCCTCCCATTAACAAATTAAAAGGAAGTCATTCCATTAAATTAGTGAAGATTAACAGACAGATTCATAGGACTGGGAGAAATAGCTTACTAGTCCAACACTGGTGGCTTGGTTGAGACCCTGAGTTTGGGCATCAGCATAGCAGTGGAGGAAAGAAGAGATTGATAGTGAGAAGACCAAAAGTATATAAGACTCTTAGTCACTAATATGTGACACTCATAAGATTCTTAAAACCAGTTAAACATAGCTTAAAGTAATCTTGAAGCCTGAAACTAGGTGTGATAGTGAATACCTTTAAACTCAGCACTCTTGAAGAAGAGGCAGGTGGATATCGGTGACTTGAAGACCAGCCTGCTCTACACAGTAAGTTCCAGGACAGCCAAGGCTACATAGAGAGACCCTGTCTAAAAACAATACAATCTAAAAAGCAAAACCTCAGAGTCAGTGAGAGAGCTCAGTATTCAAACCTGAAGAGCTGGGTTTGCTTCCTGGAACCATGTAAAGGTGGAAGGAAAGCACCACCACAGAGTTATTCTCTGACCCCCATACATACCCTTCCAATCATGCACACACCCAATGTTTAAAAAAAATTAAGACTGTGTTAACGTTGTTTCAAGGTTATATAGCTATAACCTGTGGGCTGCCAGCTCCCAAATAATGATATGGAGACTTCTCATTAATTATGAATGCTTGGCCTTTAGCTTAGGCTTTTCCCCAACTAGCTCTTAATAATTCAAATTAGCCTGCTTCTATTAATGTGCATTCTTCCATGTAGCTTTTACCACTCTTCCATGCTTTATGACCAACTTGCCCTCCTTCTCACTGTTGTTTCTGCCTGTCTTCCTCCCAGAGTTCCCTCTCTCCAGAAGTCCCACTTATTCTCTTGTATCTATTGGTCATTTAGCTCTTTATTAATTCAATCATAAGTCACCTTAGGCAGAGATACATCTTTGCAGTGAAAACAAATATTCTTCAACATATCCTTCTTTTGTCTAAATAAAAAGGAAAGGTTTTAATTCTAACATAGTAAAGCTATGTACAATAAGAACAAGTGTCAAGTAAGTATTACATTCACAATGTCCAGTCCATTTGCATTTGGTAAATTTGGAGAAATTACTCATTTATCCTATATTGATGAATCTAAAGTTTTGTACCTAATTCACTTTCTATTTTAACTTGTATTGCCAACACAAAACTATCTTTTTAGACATCAAAACATTTTCTTAGATAAACCACTTAAGCTTTTATGTCTTTCAGCCTTATACATTTACACCTCCTTTGTGAGTTTCTTTTTCTGAGTTTGGTAACAAAGACAAGAGTATAACTATCTAGTCTTCAACGCCCATCAAATACCAGAGAAGAATAAAATGTTACCTGAGTAAACATGAAGTGCAGCGCAATCAACTTGCAAAACTATAGAAATGGCAGAGACATCTGGCTGCCTAGACAGTCACCTAAAGTTTCTTTGCAACATTGGGGCATCCATCTTTGGCCTACAGGCTTAGAATCTCTGGCA